CCAAGATTATCTTCTGTGTCTGTGTTTATTGGTTTCCCTTTTCTTTGTTGAAGAGGGTCTGTGCAATCCTTCTGCCTAGTCCGCCATCTTGCCAGCTCTATGCAATTTTATCACATGTGTAGCTAACTGAGATTCTGGATTATATGAAGAACATGACATATGGATTGGAGGAAGATTCATTAACAACCTATGATGTGCAGATGACAACCTTGTATGCTGAAAGTGAAGAAGAGTTTAAAAATTGATGAAGACCAAGGACTGTAGTCTTCAGGATGGATTACACCTCAACATACTGAAAACAAAAATTCCCACAGCTGAACCAAAAAGCTACATCCTGATAAATGGAGAAAAGATTGAAGTTGTCAGGGGTTTAATTTTACTTGAATCTACAGTCAATGCCCATGAGATCAGCAGTCAAGAAATCAAGTGACTATTATACTAGGTAAATCAGCTTCAAAAGGCTCTTTAAAGTGTTAAAAAGCAAAGATGTCATTTTGAGGACTAAGGTGCACTTGACCCAAGCTATGGTATTTTCAGCCTCCTCACATGCATGTGAAACCTGGACAATAAATGAGGAAGACCAAAGAAGGATTGATGTTTTGGAATTATGGTGTTGGTGAAGAGTTTTGAAATACCATAGACTGCCAGAAGAACTAACAAATCTTTTGTCTCAGTTCTCTAGTGCTGCTATAATTGATATACCACAAATGAATGGTTTTAACAAACAGACATTTATTCTCTTACAGTTTAGGAGGCTGTACTAGGCATAGCTGTAAGTTCCCCAGAATGGCTCCCAAATCTGTCCTGTTTAGCCAAATACTGGATAATGTAAAGTCATCCCCTCCCCTCCCTTTCCCCTCATGGGCCACATTTCTTAGTTAATCTTATTGTGGACACATACTGCCAGACCTTGCCCCCACCACCTACCAGTATTGGGCAACACTGACCTCATATCAAATTCATGACAGCTATATGTCAGTTCCTCAAACAGAAGTATAAATATCTGGAAAGAGGAAAGTGTTTAGCAGACTTTGAACATGACCAGCTGTCACTGGATGTGACATCACTTTTCTCATAAGCCTCCTCCCCCACACTTTAGAATAAAACTCTTTCATGTCTTTGAGCACACTTCTGGTGCAGTTTTCCTGTCTCTCAGGCACTTTTGAGGCTCTCAGCAACAAGTGAGACAGAGCCTAGGAGTCCAAATTCAGACTGCTGGATCTAGGGGTTGGGAAAAGACTCCTCAACTTTAGGCTTCAGCTCTGCCTGTCGTTCCAGGCCCACTGGAGCTGGCTACTTCTTCTGACTCATGCAACTGATGAACCAAAGATGGCAGGTAAAAATGGAATAATCCCAAGATCAGCAGGCAACACAGCAGGCCAGTAGTTCAAGTTCAGGAACTGGAAATGAAAACTTGGTGAAATGCAGGATCCAAAGTGCCAGAAAGCTAGAGACCTTTCCCAAAGCTTCTCCATATGTACTGGTAGCAGGCCACATCCCAAAGGTAACTCCCCTTCAACTACTTAGCTGCTCACAGCAGATTCTACCATAGTGGGGATTACAATTTCATTGTGGGGAATAACTACATCCATCTGCCAAGCCACTCAAAACCATGGCCCAGCCAAGTTGACACACAACATTAACTACCACATATCTTGGAGGAAGTACATCCAGAATGCTCTTTAGAAGTGAGGTGGTGAGACTTCATCACATGTACTTTGGACTTGTTATCAGGAGGGACCAGTCTCTGAAGAAGGACATCATACTTGTAGACTACAGGGTCAGTGAAAAAGAGGAAGGCCCTCAATGAGATGAATCAACACAGTGGCTGTAACAATAGGCTCAAATGTAGCAGTGATTGTGAGGATGGCACAGGACTGGGCAGTGTTTCCTTCCATTGTACATAGTGTCATTATGAATTAGAACCAACTTGACAGCACCTAACAACAACAGCAACCTGTTAGTATTTTGTGCCTTTAAAAATTTATCTATATGAGACAAAATGATCAACACTTAACTCTATAGCAAATATGAGAAGATAAGAGGATAGAGAAACTCCAAACCAAACCAAACTTGCTGCCATTGAGTTGATTCTGATTCATAATGACACTATAAGATGGAGTAGAACGGCCCCATAGGGTTTCCAAGACTGTAAACTTTTATAGAAGCAGACTGCCTCATGTTTCTCCCATGGAGCAGCTGTTGGGTTTGAACAACTGACATTTTGGTTAGCAGCTGAATACTTTAACTGCTACACCACCAGAAGTCCTTGTAAGGAAGCTAGAGTACTGGAAACAGAATAAGCAGAACTGACTTAATGACAATGTTGACACTTTCTGAAAAGTGCAACCAATGTCACTGAACAATTTCTGTAGAAATTGTTAAATGAGAACCTAATTTTCTATGTAAACTTTCACTGAAATCATGATAAAATATTTTTAAAAAAGAAAACAATTCCTATTAGCCCTGATAAAAATAAAAAGAAACAGGTGAATTTAATGTTATTAATATATTTTATTTAATTCAATATTCAAAATACTATAATTGCATTAGAAAATCAACATAGAAATTATTAGTTTAAAAATTATTATTTTTATTTATTAAGACCCAAACTCTATAGCAAACAATATACTTTATGCATTCCTCCTAAGATCAGGAATAAGACAAGAATGTTCTGATTTCCTGTACTCAACCTGGTGCTAGAGTTTCTAGCCAATAGGCAAGAAAATAATTAACGTCTTTCATTTTGGAAAGCAAGAAACAGAACTGACTTAATTCACAGATGACATGATCCTGCATATAGAAAAATTCTAATCTTAAGGAATTTATACAAAAAACATATTAGACCTAATAAACAAAGTACGAGGTCACAAGATGCATATACATGCTCTGAGCACTCAGAAAATGAAATTAAGATCATGATATATCAAAAGAAATATTTAGGAATAAAAGAAGTGAAAGATTTGTATGCAGAACTTTACACAACTTTACTGTGGGAACTTAAAATCTAAATAAATGGAGAAATATTCCATCTTCATTGACTGAAACTTTATTGTTAAGAGGATGGAGACAAGAATTTACTGTAAATGTCATGACGGTGTCTTATTGGAGAGAGCTTTAAAACTGACTTATGGTGAGAATTGCACCAGTTGGTAAATTACTAAAATCATTGAATTGTGTACTTGGAATGGTTGAATTTTATTGTATGTAAAATATACCTCAATAAAGCTATTTTTAAAAGTGAGTTAGACAAGGGAACAAGGTCTGAAGTGGGTTCTCTGAAAGTATTATCGGAAGGAAAGACTTTTCAAGCATTCCTCTGCGTGACTCCCTGTATAGACACTTTTGGCTGGCACATCCATATAAGGCTTGCTCTGGAAACACTAGTGGCAAATAAAGGTTAATGTCTATGCTTCCCTTTCTTCAGATTTGTTTTAGATATTTCACTTCCATTTAAATAATAATTAAATACAAAGATACTTGTGTGATTCAGTGATGACACTGATGACAGCATGTGGCTGTATACCTTTTGCTCAATAACAGTCTCAGTAATTGGGCAGAATTTATTTATGTTGTCCCCACTGTCACTTTGTCCTACTGTGGTGGCTTGTGTGTTGCTATGATGCTGGGAAACTATACCACCTGTATTTCAGGAGGGTCACCTGTAGTGGACAGTTTCAGTGGAGCATCCAGACGAAGATAGACTAGGAAGAAGGACATGGCTGTTGTACATAGATTAGCTATGAGTCAAAACTGACTCGACAGTATCTAACAACAAAAACAACAACAACATTAATGGTCCAGTTGCCTAGGGATCAAATGACAAATAATTTAGGACAATTTACTGCAGGTTTCTGTATAGAACATACTTTATTCAGCCTTCTACTATCTTATCAGGGTAATCTAATTGTTCAGGAATTGAAAATAGCTTTCCTTAGAATGAAGACTAGTGGTAGTGGTCGTGGTGAGTGTGTATGGGGTCCATACACTAAATTACCTGTGATCTATTTATTTATTTTTTTTAATAGAATGGAGATATAGACAGATGCTCATATCAGCATGGGCTTTTGTTTTAAGTCCCTTGTGAACCGAATGCAAGTTTCTCTTAATTTTCTGTTTCTTTCTAGATCATCCATAGAACACTGGCTGCCATGTTGGGTTCCCTTGTAGCATTAGCAGTGCTGGCAGTGATTGGTGATGTAAGTGTCAAATAGTGTCAGATTTGGTGTTTCTTATTCATTAATATGCTATTTCAACATTTTGCTTGAGGAACCATACTATAGGTTTGAATTAAAAAAATTATCTGGAAGAATATTTTTCATCTAATTTTACTACATTCCAGTGGTATGCTTTCCCATTTTAAATACAGTTGAGGAAAAGTTAATCAAAGCCATGAGTCTATGCAGGGTCACATAGCTGAGTGGTGCTAGTGCTAGACCTGGGTCATGTCCCCTTGGGAGTTAGAAAGGACCACTTGGCTGGGAAGAGAGTTGAGACTGTGTCTACAGTCCTTAGGAGGCCCGTGCAGATGCATGCGTTCTGAGGATGGTCCATCTGTAGGCATGTGTAGAGAGGGAAGCCTGGTAATAGTAGAGGGGTGTTGCTGGGATGGAATTAAGGAGCCACCAAAGGTGGTAACACAGAAATGGATTTGAAAACAAACATATGGAATTTAATGAATTGTCCTTAAACAGTTACTAAATGCCATTCAATAATGACCAATTTATTCATAATAACTAGTTCAATAATCTATGAGTGTGTATCTATCTATCTATTTATTTATTTATTATTTTTTAATTTAAATTTTGAATGTAGGCTCAGCCTTAAAACAGTAGTAAGAACTTAAGTTTTTCCTTGGCTAGTGTTGGTGTAAACAAATGCTAACACTAAAGGTAAAATGTCCCAGAACCCTAGAACTTAGACACAAAACTATTTGTCCTGGAGGATTTTATCTTATGAATAAATACATGTTGAGGTTTGTCATATATGAATTCATTTTGTTTGCTGCAGGGTAGTCACTGCAAGGCGCCTAAGAAAGACCTCAATACAGTCATTTAGCATTTGAGAATCAGAATTGACAATTAAAATGTTAGTTTAAATGTTAGAGTTCAAATCATTAGACTTTAAGCTTTTAGTTTTAATGAGTGGTCTCAGGGAGAGACTTTACCACCTTTGAACCCAGAAGACGTTTTCAGAACTAGGGTCTGAGGTCGGATGTGGTGAGCTGCATCTCAGTAGGCCCTTAATCTTCAGACTGAGTCAGAGAGACCTTTTGCTTCTGTCTTCCCTAAAAATGAATAGAAATCCATGGATTTATGTACTATATGTGCTGTCATGTCTAACTATAACTGGTATGCTTTATTGTCAGTTAAGGGCATTATTGTATGACATTTATATTTTGCTAATGTATTATTGAATTATTACCAATTAGATTGTGACATAAATATGTTCTTATTCACTACATATGTTTCAAGGCTAAGTTAATTAACTAAAAAAATTGGGAATTGTTTAGTCACATATTTATGCTTTGCTAATATATAGAGCTGATTAATGTTACTTTCCATTATCACAGAGTGCAAGTGCAGAGACCAATATAAGGAAGTTATTTATGATATATTTGATCTCTTTCCAGGGTTAGAACAACTTTCTAGTGACATATAGTTAGTGGTTAAGGAGCATTACAGAAGTATAGATGTTTTTATTTCTAAGTTCAGAAATTTTCTATTTCTAACTTCACATTATAAGTGGCATACATACATGTTTAAAAGTATTATAAAAACATTGTAATAGTGAGAAAAATATAGAAATGTACATAATAGTTACTTATACCTAAGTGTTTATAAACATAAAATAATTATAACAGTGTAAAAGCATTATGCTGTTGTTGTTGTTATGTGCCATCGAGTCAACCCGACTCAAAGCGACCCCTCCTTGGGTTTCCGAGGCAGTATCACTACAGAAGTAGGATTGCCCAACCTTCCTTCCGAGGAGTGGCTGGTGGGTTTGAACCACCAGCCTTCTGGTTAGCAGTCAAGTGCCTTAGGCACTATGCTACCAGAGCTCCCAAAAGCCTTATAGTGCATACATAGTAGTGAAGTGATTTGAGAACATAACAAAAAGCATGCATAACACCTCTGTTGGTTTTATTAATTGTTAGGAATAGTGTGTATGCTCTTTTGTTTCAAAAACCACTTACATGGCATAGAGCTGGGATATGTCAAAGGAGACACTTTGGCTTGGCTACACTGGCTAGTCTTACTCCTGCCAGCCAGCCTCAAGGCAATGCAGCCTCTGAGTTCCCAAACCCTGCTGGTAGAGTGGGGCAATGACAACTGCCTTCCCTCTCCACAAGGAGTTTGAGGGGAAAATGAAACTGGGCAGGGGGAATGGCTTGAAATATACAATAAATAATTGTCCTTCAAGTTATTGCCATTCAGGTTGAAGTCACTGCACTGAGGAAAGCGGAAGGTCTATACCACTAATGCTGTGCCTGATGAGGCCAATCCTGTAATTTGGGCAAATCACCAGGAACAAAGTCTTTTTAAAGTTATTAAATGTGTAGACTTCCCAGTAGAAATGGTTTGGTCACAGGTATTTTTTGAGGGATGTTATAATTATATCCCAAATGCAAATGGGTGTTGTGATTCTAGATGTTGGTCTGCAGTAAGTGGTTGCATGTTTGTACAGCTTGTTATGCATGGGGGTGTGGGTGCCAGAATAATTGGGACATTTATCTTTGATTGCAGAGACCTAGACTGAGCCATGTGGTGGAGTGGATTGATTTTGAGACCCTGGCCCTTCTTTTCGGCATGGTAATTGCAGTCATTCTAGGGGGCATGACTCAAACCCATTGCAACTGATACTATCTCTTTTGCTGCTGCGACTGATCTTTCATTCTGTTTAAGACACTTCACTGCTTGACAACTAGGGCTTGACTGAAAAGTGTTAGTGTGTGTCTAGTTAATTTGTCCTAGAAGGAATTGAATGGTTGATACTCTATTTAGTGAACTGGAGAATTTAAGTCTAAGACTTGTTTGATGTTGAAAAAAATTACCATTTAGAAAATTCAGGGATAATCTGGTAGCATAGTGCCTAAGGCACTTGACTGCTAACCAGAAGGCTGGTGGTTCAAACCCACCAACCATTCCTCAGAAGGAAGGTAGGGCAATCTACTTCCATAGTGATATCACTTTGGAAACCCAAAGAGGGGTCACTATGAGTCGGATCCAATTCCATGGCACATAACAACAACAACAACAGGGATATTTTTTAGTTATTGTCCTTAATATATAAAATGAAATATCTCAAATTAATGAACCATTAGAAAGTTTTGGTGATTAAAAAAGAATATTTATCATTTAAAGGAATAAATGGTCCATAAGTAATAGTTGATGTGTTTGTCATTAAAATGATCAAGTGGCCACTCTGTGCAAGGCAGCTGTGATCTGTGAAAAATGTCACGAAGTCAACTTACTGTAAAGAAGCTTTAATAGTGCAAACAGACTAGAGTGGGATACAGCCATAGTCCAATGTAATGTTAATCAGCAGAATTTGACAAGAGCCTGGACAGCAGGTAGTTTGATGGTTTGAAGGGGAGAGCTTCTCCTCTCTAGGCTAGAGGACCCATTCTGTGCAAAGCAGGCTGCAGAGTGAAGAGTCTGCTACCCTACATATCAATCTCACCCAAACTAGCACTGTACCCTCTTTTGAGTGAAGTATGGGGGAGGGTGCTCTGACTTGTGCTTCCCAGAGGAACTTATGTCTGTGTTGAATGCTGAGAAGCATATAGGGTTTGGCAATTGGTTGGAGAAAGGCATACCAGATATCTTATAAAAGAAGTTTTTTTTGAAAAAAAAAAAAGAAAAAGAATGCATTTATTTGTTTTTTATCAAATTAAGTTTAGCAAATCCTTGCAAGTCCTACAATTCTAGAACTATGGGGATTCAAAAATAGTCTTATATCTTTGTCATGGCATGTCAAGAACCCTCTCTTGGTTCTTGAGGTTGTTCTGAAGGTAAATATATGGCACAGCTTCAAGAGAACTAGTGGAATCACAAGATACCTGCTTAGTCATGTTGACTTGGAACTTTTAGTACTGTGAGAAGCATTAAATTCTGCAAACAGTCTCCACAGTGGCTGGTTTGTATTAGAATAAATATCAAGATCAGTTTAGGTAAGGAAGATATTTTTACTGGGTCTAAATTGACTTTTGAATATTTTTATTTTAAAGAATCTATTTTTAAAAAACAAAACAAGGTAAATTGGCCTGCAATTTACCAACTACTTTAATTTATATTTTTATTGAATTATCACAACCTTGCAAAGTACAGAAAATTAAAAATCTAGAAAATTTAAGTACTGAAGGTTCTAAGTGTCAGAATCAGGCTTTGAATCTGAATATTCTCACTCCAAGTTCAATACTGCTGTCTTAGATAATGAAATGAAATGTGGAATCTTCCAGAAAGTCCGGTTGTTTAGATTCTGTATAAATGGGGGATGACTCTTTGTTAACATTTAGAATGGTTCTCATCAAATCATTGTCATACTAGAAAGAAATATGAGTGAATAAGCATGTTGTTTTCATGCTGACCCCAGAGAACAATCCTTGAATGCAACTGCTCTTATTTATATATCTTGATAAGATTAGTGACAACAATCAGTTTAATTACTTTAAAAAACAAAATTTAACTCAGCTTTAAAATCTTAAAATGTCTAATTGTTGCATGTGTGGACAGTGAAATTCAGAAGCCACATTCTGGCCTTCCTACATGCCTCCAGCTTTGTGACTATTGGTAAGTCACCAGCTTTGTGTCTGTGGGAGGGTCACCTCACTTCCTTACCCACTTCCTAATTTATAAAGTGAGAGTAATAATGCCTGTTATTTGCTGTGGGGATGAAATAGAATGACAATATGCCTTTTGAACAAATCCCTAGACAAATATGTAGGGCCAAAGTACTAGTGAGAGCCTCCTATCAAGTACCTAACTAGTTATAATAGAACAAAAGTAAGTTGACAAGTTGAAGAAATGATAGCCTTTCAAGCAAGAGATGCAGAGCTTGGTGCTGGAGGAGCTTCCTCTTAGAGGCTCATATTTATAAAATCACTATGACCCATTGTGATTCACTACTTTGTTAAAACATTCTCCTTGTCTCCTTTTTTCTCTTTTCTCCCATAGATGATCTTAGTAGCCATATTTTCAGAAACTGGATTTTTTGATTATTGTGCTGTAAAGGTAGGTTTAATGTAGCATTTAATAGTTGCATATTAATTAATAAATATATTTATTTTTCCAACACTACATATTTAGTAAATAAGACTATCATTGAAGCAAATATTTTAAAATCTTGTCATTTGTAAAGCTGGGTACAGTTGCTGTGCTAAGAAGTAATATGTCTCTGAGCAACACTTTCAGTTTCTTAATAAATAACCGGAGAAGAATACTAAGGAAAAGAGCACTGAGGTTGGATGTTTGTGTAATATTATTTAAATGGGCAGGTTGAGAGCTACACATAAAAATTGTTTTGTGTTTTAGAGTAAGATATTTCAAGCCATCAACCTCTTATTACTTTGCCTTTTGGTAAAATGAATTTAATAACTGCTTTCTAAAATTTGAGCATACTTAAGTAACTATTCCCAAAACCAACCAAACTCACTGCTATTGAGTCGAACTCGACTCATAGTGACCCATCCTTGGCTTTCTGAGGTGGTATCACTGCAGAAGTAGATTGCCCAAGCTTCCTTCTGAGGAGTGGCTGGTGGATTTCAACCGCCAGTCTTCTAGTTAATCCACCAGCATGTTCTGACCTTCAGGATTTGCAAAGGGCTAATGGTTCTATCATTCAGAACTGGCAAGAGGAGAGCAAAACTAGTGGAAAGGCTAATGATGTGCATTTTTTTTTTGTTACAACTTTTTAAAAAAAGTTCTTTTAGGAAATTATTTAATCAACTTTAGTATCACTGATGAAGAGTGCCATTTATCCATGACTCCACTGATCTGTCTTGCTCTTTTCTGTATGTGTGTGCCCCACAGGCCTACTGGTTCTCCCGGGGAAGGGTGTGGCCCATGATCATCTTGCTGTGTCTCATTGCTGCTGTCCTCTCTGCCTTCTTAGACAATGTCACTACCATGCTGCTTTTCACTCCTGTGACTATCAGGTATCCAGTGTTCTTCTGCCACAGGTGTTCTGTCTGGGCTGTGGTAAGCATGATTCTGCCTGGATAGCCTTGCTCATGGCTCCATCTTTACACTCATGATAATGTCCATCTGCTCATCTCATGGGCCTACCAAATTTCAATTGTGCTGGTGTGTTGATGGGTGCTTTGTATGAGCTGTGTTAAACTATACCAATACCACTTGACTGAAACACTGTCAAGTGAGGGTGGCCACAGCTGCTGCAAAAATATCTGCAAGGAGTCAGAAGACACAAACCTTGCTTTCTTGGAGTTTAGACTTTAATACTAACCACTGTTGTAGAGAGAAAACTCACTTAGTCCATGACAATGAAAGTAAGAAGATTCATTCAGAAAAACTACATCCAGATATAGGAAGGCACTAATGATTCCAAACTTCTATCTTCTAACTAAAACAGATATAGTCCATGGATCAAAGAAACTATAGTACAGGTATTTGATTAAATTAATTACAAAGGTTTTAAATATTAAGCAAATAACTCATTGGTGGATGTTTACACAGCTTTAACTAGATGTCTCAGGAGTAGGTGAAAAGTACTCTTGGTGTCAGAATCTCATTTCCCCAAAACAGTTTGTGAAAAAAAAAAGCTTTTAAGGGTCTTGGAAACTTCAGATGAGGCTAGCTCTAAATCCTTTCAAGCAATTTTCTTTATCATATAACTTTGTTGTGAAAAAAACATTCTTTTGCCCTACTTCATATAAAACACACCTATGTCAAGATTCTCTTCCTTAGAGTGTATTTCTTTTATATCCTGCTTGACTATAGAAGGAAATTATTTCTTAGTTTTTATGACTTCTAGAAATTAATAGTCAGACAACAGGAGCTTGTAAAGGGAAATAGACTTTACAGCCTAAACAAACAGATTCCCAGGCAGGCAAATTTGTGGAGAACAGTTTAATTCAGCAACAACTGAGTGAAATTCAATCAATCACCATTTGGTCAAAAAGCCTTTATGAATTTCTCGTTTATACCACTAATAATGAGTGCTAGGGGTTATTGTCCTTGCAGACCCTCCCATGGTCTTAGGTCACTCAGATGGCTGGAAGCACTCCTGTCTCTGAGCTGCATAGGAGTGCTCAGCATGAGGACTAGAGAGGCTATTGTGGGGACCAGAGGGCTGCCAGACCCACCAGGCTGGGTAGAGTTAGGGCCAGCCTGGCAAGACTTTATAGGGCCATTTTGGGAGTGAGAAATTCAGCCTCTTTAAATTCCATCCATTTTAATAATTTGATACGGCATGAGTGCCAGAGATACTTCCCTGAATCTCCTGCAGCCTGAGCCTTCCAGGCCCTGTGTTGTATCTTGTATCCATATTTCATATTCTTTCAGTTCCGTCAGTCATGGGTCTCATGCATGGACCCTCCCTGCTTAGACCTGTCACACCCCACTGTGCATCCCTGACTCCCCAACATGCTCTCTGCAGGTCCCCAGACCCAGATCAGTGGACCATCCCCTTCACATATCCTCTTTCTCCACAGACTGGCAGCTAGAAGATTGTAACAGGCTGTGGCAGTATTCAGAATGGGGTGTCCTGCACACAGACTCCTCTCTCCCTTTCAGCATCCTGAATGAACTCCTTTATATTTTCTGCTGGCAGCCCTGAGTGACCAGGAGATTCGGCTGCAGGAGGTGTGCTCAGCTTTCTTGGCTGCATACAGCAGCACAGTGGGATTTCAGACTGCCACCCCCAGTCCCTCCATTGCCACCGGGGGCCTGCTGGAGCAGTTCATCAGTGGTGTTGGACTCCGGGGCACCAGCAACCGTACCTTGTGAACCAGCAAGCCCACAAACATTTCCTGCTCCCCTCCCATCTGAGCCCTGAGTGGAATAAAAGTCATGCCCAGTCAAGGGAAATTGCAAAGAGGGAAAATCTCACTCCCTACTCCAACCATCATCCACATGGCAGCCGAAAGCCAGAGCAGGGCAAAGAACAGGGTCCTCCAACTCCAAGCCTCCTGACTGGTGGTGGTCATGCTCTCTAGTTACTGCCTCCCACCCATCCCAACTTTTGCTGAGAGTCCCCCATAAACTGTCAGAACTGGGGGCCATGTGGAGGCCACGACTTCACAGGAGACACAGCACCCCCAACCACCAATCTCATTCTTGTTTCCTGGGGAAGAGGGATCATTTGCATTGAGAAAAAGGCAGTTTGACATAGGTCACAAAATAAAATAAGTCTTTTTGAACAGTCAACAATAAATAAATAAAATAGGACCAGGATTGGCACCCTCATAAAGGCTCACAGAGAGGGACCAACATTAGTAGTTGGGTCCTTCAAGCCACACTGTTCTGGTTTGTGCTATCAAAGTAATGAGGTGTTTGGGAAGTAGATGAGATGTGGAGACTGCCTGAGCTCTGAGGCTTGTGACAAGTTTGCCTTCAGAATTGTCACAGGGAGGTACTTCTGGCTCATGAGAATCCTTTGGAGAATTCATTTGGGCTCTGGAGAGTGGAACATCTTATAGAAAGTGGGGAGTTGGAATGTGCAGAAAGGAGGGGAGAGGGATGGATGGAAGGAGCAGGGAGCAGGTCTGCCCCACCTCCAAAACTTCTTCATAACAGAGGCCTCACTATGGGAGACTTGGGCTCCAGCCCAGTTCTGCCTGCTTGATGGGTCTTATAGTGACCCATGTGTAGGTGGGGTTTCAGAGTTGGAAAGGCTGGACCCACTGCCAGTTCTGGGAAACTGGGGCACTGGCACCTTCCAGTATCTAGAGATTTTTCTGAAGGTAAATGAAGAATGGAATGAAAGTATTTGAAGGATGCTATGAAAGGTAACCTACTCTATTATTGTTTTAAATGAGAGACTATTTCCATTTTCCTCTATTTGTGACAGATTATGTGAAGTGCTCAACCTTGATCCAAGACAAGTCCTGATTGCAGAAGTGATCTTCACAAACATTGGGGGAGCTGCCACTGCCATTGGGGACCCACCGAATGTCATTATTGTTTCCAACCAGGAGTTAAGGAAGATGGTATGTACCAGTATACAGGGTTGCTTCCAATAAATGTAGACCTCATATTTCTTATGTGACATTCTACCAAACATGAATACCTTTACTAGAAATTAAGCTCACCTTTGTCACCTTTCCATAGTAAGTGCTATTGGCTATGTCAAGAGTGGGATATTAGTTGACTGACCTCTGGTGTAGAGCTAAGTGGTCTGAATTGGTGTCACTCTGATTCCAATTACTTTGAAAATAAATGATTAAATAATAGGAGCTATTTAGTCACAGTGTATTATATTGTTGTTGTTATGCACCATTGAATCAGTTCTGACTCATAGTGACCGTATGTACAACAGAATGAAACACTGCTAGGTCCTGTGCTATCCTCACAATCTTTGCTGTGCTTGAGCCCATCCTTGAGCCTTTTTGTCAATCCACCTCATTGAGGATCTTCCCCTTTTTTGCTGACCATCTATTTTACTAAGCATGATATCCTTCTGCAGGAACTGGTCCCTTCTGATAACATGACCAAAGTAGGTGAGACAAAGTCTGGCTGTTCTCACTTCTGAGGAGCATTCCAACTGCACTTCATGTGTTAATAATATTAGTAGAACTGGGGTTTTCCCCAACTGATATTAAGAACAAAATATTCTGTCTCCTCTCACTGAAGATTTGGGATTTCCTTCTCAACAGTGTTAAATTAAATCTTCATTGAAGATGGTGATTCTTCACTGATGAAGAACTTAATAATTTTTTTTTTTTTAAACAAGGATAAGAAAATGAAGGGCTTTAAACATTCTTCAAAAGCCCTTCTCATTATTAATATATAATTTATTTGTACACTAAAATAAAGACAAAGTATTAGAGTGTAAATTTTACATATCTTTAAGTATTAAAATTATAACTATATAGTAAAACCACAAAAAACCAAACCTACTGCCATTGAGTCAATTCTGACTTATAGTGACCCCCTTTGGGTTTCTTAAATCTTTAAGGAAATAGATTGCCCAATCTTCCTTCTGCAGAGTGGCTGGTGGGTTTGAACCATCAGCCTTCTGGTTAGCAGTCAGATGCCTTAGGCACTGCATCACCAGAGCTCCTTAACTATGTAGATAGGTTTAATATAGTTTCATATATCATTCTTGGTCATCAAAAATTTTCAATCTCTCTTCTCTGAAGCATCAGTAAAAATGCTTACAAATTGGTTTTATTTACTGTAGATGATATGTTTTTGTGTATGTCTGTGAAGTGTGCTTTTTTTTTTTCCTGTGTGTGTGTGTATGACATCTTCCTTTAAAAATACATAAACACTTGAGAGTTCATGGTTATAAGATATTTGTGGTTACATTGTGGCCTATACCATGTGCTAGAGATTTAAATACAAATTGGATGCTTTGCCTAAACTTTATACTCCCTGGTCACCCTGAGAAACCACTAATAACATTCCCTAGTCTTGCTGGTGGGCTGTTATTGCATAGATTTTGCTTTGCTCATAATCATGTCATTTATTGTGCATCAGAGGGTGACCGAAACCTATAATTTTTTCTAGGGCCATCTGTCCCCTAGGATGCACCTCACACACGTTGTTGTTAGGTGCTGTTGAGCCTAATTTACAACACAAAGAAACACTGCCCAGTCCTAGGCCATCCTCACAATCTTTGCTATGATTTAGCCCATTGTTACAGCCACTGTGTCAATCCACCTTGTTGGGGGCCTTTCTCTTTTACGCTGACCCTCTACTTTACTAAGCATGATAACTGTCTCTAGGAACTGGTCTATCCTGATAATATGACCAAAACATAAGGGATGAAGTCTGGCCATTCTTGTCTAAGGAGCATTCTGCTGTACTTCCAAGACAGATTTGTTCATTCTTCTGGCATTACTTGGTATTCAATATTCTTCACCAACACTACCATCAAATATACTTTTGCAATCTTCTTTATTCATTGTCCAGATTTCACATGCATATGAGGTGATCAAAAATATCGTGCCTTAGGTCAGGTGCACCTTTGTCTTCGAAGTGACATGAACTTTAACACTTTAAAGAGATCTTTTGCAGCATATTTGCCCAATGCAATACATCACTTGATTTCTTCACTGCCATTTCCATGGGTATTGATTGTAGATCCAAGTAAAATGAAATTCTTGATAATTTCAATCTATTCTCCAATTATCATGATGTTGTTTATTGTTCATGTTGTGAGTATTTTTGTTTTTTTTTTATGCTGAGGTGTGCTCCATACTGAATTGTAATCTTTAATCAAGTCTTCACTTTCAGCAAGCAAAGGTTGTGTCATCTTCATGTAAGAGGTAAATGAGTCTTCCTCCAATCTTGAAGCCATATTCTTCTTCACAGTTATTTTTTTATACATGTAGGAGAGAACTATTTCTAGAAAAATGATATTTGTTATATTATTTGTATTATATGGCAATACACTGTGGGAAATAGAAGTCACACACACATGCATACCCAATAAAACATTTGTTATAATCTCATCCTGAGAAAAATCCTGTTAATATTTTGGTGCATATAGTCTGCCAAAATGATTGTGTGTAGTTATGCATGATAGAAAATATAACACAACTTCTGCTATTGACCAATCCAAGGGTCTGGATTTATTCTCTTGTCAGAGACAATAGTAGTAGTAGTAGTAGTAGTAGTTGTAGTAGCAGTAGTAGCAATAATAATAATAATAAAATGGAACAATGGTTATCAAGAACATAGATGTCAAGTGAAAATAGACAGTGATCTCTGAAAGATAGAAAATAAATTATGTAAGCCTTATTACTACCTTGAATTTCCAGGATATTTTACAGTGATAGAAATCCAGATAAGCCAGTTGGACTACCTGAGTTGAGGAGAGAGAAATTAGAATATAGAGAGAGCAAGGTGGCTAGAATTTGTAGGAAAGAGTACCAGAGAGGAAATAATTGCACAGAGAAAGAACCCCAAAGATCAATGGATTTCCCATTAAGTATTCATCAGAACATTTAGATCACTGCATACATGTGGGTAAACCACTCAAGACCATGAGAAGAACAACCCAAAAAGATTAGAAGACGAGTGCTTGCTACTAACACAGGACTTGGAATAATGTCTATTCCTGCCAGGTAGACTGGAAAACCTTTTAATTCATGGAGCACTGGGTAGAATACAGAAAAGTATCTTACCTCAGTAATGGGGGTAAATTAGCTCTATATTAATCACTGTTCTGATTCTACATAACAAATCTTAAAATAAAACCCAAAAGAATTAAACTGTTTTTAAGTAATTTAACTGCACCCCAGAAAAAAGCCTTAAGAATATTTATAGGAATACAAAAGTTTCTGACAACACATAGGGTAAAATTAACAATGTCTGGCATCCAATGAAAGATTTGTCAAGCATGGAAAGAAGCAAGACAATATGACTTATGACAAGGAGAAGATTATAAACAAACCCAGAATAGACACTGATGTTAGAATTAACAGATAAAGGCATTAAAACCATTAAAGACATTAAAAAAAAAAGACCCAAATCAAATTTCAATGGATGAAAACTGTAATATTTGAGATAAAAAATGCATAGGATAGAATTTATAGCAGATTAGAAATTGCAGAACAAAAGATTAGTGAATTTGAAGACACAGCAATAAAAACTTTTTTAAATGAAGCAAAGAGTGAAAAGTAAATAACAAGAAATGAAAAAAAAAAATTAATTAACTATGGGAAAACTTCAAGTGGCCTAATGTGTAATTCTAATTTCCAGAGAAGTTGGGGAACAGAGGAAAATGAAGAGTCATCTCAATATTTCCAAATTTTATATAGAGTATAAACCTACAGAATCATGAAGTAAACCCAATACATAGAAACCTACATTGAGTTACATCATAAACAGATTTTTAAAAAACAGTAGTAAAGAGAAAATTGTAAAAGTTACCATGGAAAGAAGATATCACATACAGAAAATAAAGAGGCAATGCAAGTAAGAAGGTAGTGGGACAACATCTTTAAAGCACTAAAAGAAAGAAGTGTCAACTCAAATACCAATGAACATATTATTTTCTTATATACAAGACATCTAATACATAAAATCCAGAAGATTTCATCAATAGAAGCCCATGGTGAAAGAAATACTAAAGATGATCCTTAAGGGAGAAGAAAAACAATACTAAATGGAAACATCGATCTACACAAAGGATTGAAGAGCACAAAAAATGATAACTACATGGGTAAATTCATATGATATTTTCCTATTTTTTCTATTATTCTATTATTTAAATATCTTTAAAATATGATTATTTAAACAAAAATAATAGCAAATCTGATGCAAAAGACTGTTTTAAAATGCTGAAGAGCAAATCTGTCTTGTTGAAGACTAAGGTGCGTCTAACCCAAGCCATGGTGTTTTCAATCCCCTCAATATGCATATGAAAGCTGGACAATGAATAAGGAAGACTGAAGAAGATTTGATGCTTTTGAGTTGTGGTGTTGGTGAAGAATACTGAAAGTACCATGGACTGCCAGAAGAATGAACAAATCTGTCCCGGAAGAAGTGCAGCCATTCTGGAAACTAGAATGACCAGTCTTTGTCTCACCTACTTTGGTCATGTTGTCAGAAGGGACCAATCCCTTCATGCTTGGTAAAGTGGAGGGTCAGCAAAAAGGGAAAGATCCTCAAGGAAATGGATTGGTGCAGTGGCTGCAACAGTGAGCTCAAGTATAGCAAATATTGTGAGGCTGGTGCAGGACCACGCAGTGTTTTGTTCTGTTGTACATAGAGTCACTAAGAGTCAGAGCCGACTTGATGGCACCTAACAACAACAACAACAACAACTACAACAACAACATAGCATATGTTAAGTAAGATTATGACAACAGTAGCATAAATACCAGGAGAGAAGAAATGAAAGTACATTAATGTGAGGTATGGTATGTGTAAGTGGACATAATGTCACAGGAAGGTAGACTGTGACAAGTTAAAAATGTATGCCATAAGCTCTGAAACAACCATTAAAATGACAAAACAAAGAGTTACAGCTAATAAG